ATAGACTCCTATTCAAAATATGTTTGGGTCTATATGCTGCAGAAAAAGTCTGAAGCCTTTACCAAGTTTCGCCAGTTTTGTAAATGGCTCGGAAATGTACATAATGAGAATGTACGTTGTATTTTCACTGACAGGGGTGGAGAGTTTTGTTCAGAGGAGTTTGAGAATTTTCTTTCTGAACAGGGCATTGAGCATAGGACCGCCACGCCCAGATCGCCCTGGCAGAATGGTTTATGTGAGAGAATAAACCAGACCCTGCAGCAAGGAATCAGAACACTGTTACATGATTCGGGTTTGCCCAATCCCTTTTGGGCCGAAGCTCTTTTGTTTTTCTGTCACGTGTATAACAGGAGGTACCAGTCTGCTGTAAATTGCACCCCATATGAGATGCTTCACAGAAGAAAGCCATGTGTGAAGCACTTTAAAATTTTTGGGTCGGAGGTTTGGGTGCACACCTCGCAGGGTGACAAACTGAGCAAGCATGGAGAACATGGTGTTTTCCTAGGATATGAGAAAGGGTCTTATCGTGTTCTGATCACAGACACGAAAACCATAAGGCTGACCAGGAGTATAGAAGACAATCCACAATGGGACAGAGTTGGTGTTTTTCAGTGCCATCCCATTTGTGATGATGGTGCAAAAGGGGCAAAGAAAGTTAAGAGGAAGGCAAGTTCTGATGTGATTGATAATTCTGATGCCAATGTAGTTCCAGATGATGGCACAGATTATCAGAGCCCAAAAGCCTCAGAAGAGTCTGACGCTGACTCAGACTTAGCAGCTTCATATACTTTAGCTCCCCATTCTCCCAAAGAGAAGGAAGCACCAGAACAAGAGGATCAGAGAGTTTTGCGCAGATCCGAGAGAACAACCAAGGGTGTACCACCGAAAAGGTTTTCTGAAGAGTTTGCAAAGACTGCGGTCACAAGCAACTCTGGTGGAGTTTTTAAACCAGACATGAAGTGTGTTAAGAGTAATAGCACAAAACGCTTCATTTATTTCCTTACCTGATATTTGAAGGAAAGCGTGTATTTGAGTTCTAAAAATGGTTTGTTCAAATCTGCCTAATTAGTGATGTCAATTTGCATCTGAGAGAAAGAAACATGTATGAAGATTTTTCTAGAAGCTGCTTATTCATTTGTGTGTTCACAATGTGTATTTTGTGTAAACTGCAGATTGAGATTTATGTTTTAACTCTTTCCTAATAGACACAGAAAGGTTGTAGTAATTGTTTAATGATGTGATAAAGTATCTTAGATAAGGGGGAGAGAGATACCTGCAAATGTGTTAACCAAGGTTGTAAGCAGAGAACAACTTTTGGAGTGTGTGTGTAAATTGCAGTTATGTTAAAGATTCTTGAAATGGTCGGATGAAATGGGGGAGGATGAGGAGATTTCACCCCTCCCATACCCAAGAATCTCCTGACCATCTCCTGATGATCTCTGCTGACTCTCCACAGAGAAGAGGAGGCGTGTCCTGCCTATTAACTTATTCTGCCCAGCAACATATCTGTGTGTGTGAGAGAGAGTCAGTCAGTCAGTGTATCGGAGAGAGTGAGAGTGTTAGAGATCCTAGAGATTAGATTGCTGCTAAGAGCAGCTGCAGACTCTCAGTATAGCATTGCTTTATGCTCAGAATACTTAGCTCTGTATATAGTTTTGTACCATAGTTGTAGTTGTAGAATAAAAGGAAGATATTTTACAGAGCTGCTCTCCGAGTGGTTTATACTCTGCAAGACTCTGCAAAACTCTGCTGCGCAACGACTGAAGTATTGAGACAGTGAATCCGGTGCTCTCAGCTCCAAGCTGTGAGTCCACAGCACTGTGACCGTTTCCTGCGGGAAGGAGGTCTCTGGCGGTGCTACCCAGCTCGCCCAGCCCAGTCGGGGTTGAGGTGCAAGAGTCCAGTTGGTGCACTGGCTCTCTAGGGCGATGCTGACAGTAATTGTAATGGGTCTTCAATGCCAAAGGATCTCAGATACACCTAAATGGGAGCAAATGTGGTCTAAAGGGTAACAAGGTGGGCTTGGAGGTTTGTTTGAGTTGCAGACTAAAAATGGATGTATGGGACTTCCAAAACAATGTTGCATTGCAGAGTGTTTCTGTACAGTGTGGGGAAGGGAGGAATTAGATCCAGTCGGTGGGCCAGTTCCCCTGACTGCAGTGGCTTGCTGACCTGTCAATCACATGACATCTATATATAGGGTGACCAGGTTTTCCTTTGTAGTGTGAGCTGGGCTTGCGTACACATTTCCCAACCCCTCTCCAGTTTAACTCAAGACTCATTCACTCCAACACCCAAAGAGGACTCTTTCATCTCTCTCCCCCCCCCCATAAGACCTACATTTAAAATGAAGTCTACGCATTATTCATCTACAAAAAAATGTGGCCAAAACAAAAACAAAAAAAAACCAGAGAGATTAGCTTGATCATGGTTAGATTCTAGTACTGAAAGTTGCACAAGCTATTTATGTACAAAGAAACAGAAGACAAAATGGGGAAACGGACACCTCAAAGAATGAAAATGAATAACTAAATGGGACAATGAAACCCATGTAGAAACAATGCAATGTACATCCATGCATATATGGATGTTCATAAGCAAGACTTGCGCCACAACTGTGGCCAATCTGCATCCCATTAGGCTGAGCAACAATTGATTTATAAACTGAAATTGATATTCAAAACAAAAAAAATTCCTTCCAGTAGTACCTTAAAGACCAACTAAGTTAGTTCTTGGTATGAGCTTTCGTGTGCATGCACACTTCTTCAGATACCTGAAGTGTGCATCTGAAGAAGTGTGCATGCACACGAAAGCTCATACCAAGAACTAACTTAGTTGGTCTTTAAGGTGCTACTGGAAGGAATTTTTTTTGTTTTGACTATGGCAGACCAACACGGCTACCTATCTGTAACTGAAATTGATATTGTTTTGGATGGGGCAATGAAATTACACCCACAAATTGTTTACCTTGATGCTTCTGTTAGGGACAAATATGCATTTGTATTCAGCTTCCTGTGATGGCATAAATGAATAGAATCGACTTGGTTGGATAATAAACAGAATGAATGGATGATGCTTAAAATATCACTTTCCCTTAATATCAACCAGACCAAGCCTTAGAAATTTGTGGCAAGATCTTAAACCTACAGAAATATTAGCCTATTAACATTAAAAATCTAACAGATATTGTCACCCTTCCATTTAAAACTGTTTCTTATTGTTTCAGTATTCGCAGTGTCCTGGTGTTTTAAAGTCCAAGGTGAGGAGGAAGAATACAAGACAATGACCTTTGCAAGCTCAGATTGCCACATTGCCAAGTAGGACTTATGTGAAAATGACTGGACTCTGCAATGTCACCACTGGCAATGCTCCTTTTTCAACACGTAGGTCTATCCCAAGACCGTCACATTTTTCCTCCAAATACAACAGAAGAAATTTACCATAAACACAATCTTAGGTTGTGGTTCAAACTATCAATATCCTGTTTAATCAAGCAACAACACAAATAATTATTATCATGTATTTCAAAGGTGAGAGGTTGGGTAGTTTAGGCAGCTGTCTTATATATATTTGGGAGAAAGTCACACTCAACCCAGTGGAGTATACATGCTTGAAATCTCTTTACAGAAATAAATTTGGTACCGTTTTACATTGTTTATAAATATAGGATATAAATATAGGATATCATGCACAAATGATATCAATTTCCTGAGAACTCCTTAAGGAAAATTGCTGTAATTTTTGTATGTTCTGATATGAAATTCTGGCAATGGCAAAATAACACAAGTTTTTTGCTGCTTAAATTCCAGGGTGGGTGTGCTTTGTGCCTTATATCGCAAGGAGTGGTAAACTGTATGGATTATATCATAAACACCTAATAAAAATAGTTATGAATTCCAGTGGACTTCCATCAC